TTTTTTTTTTTTTTTTTGGTATCAGGGATCAAACTCTAGTCCTTGTGCTTTCAAGGCAGGCGCGGAATCATTGAGCTAAATCCCCGGCCCTTGCAGTTCCATTCTTAAAGCGTTTGATACACTATTTGGGATCATGTCCACTGAGGCACATTTTCTCCCCAACAGCTTTTGAGTAAGGTCAGATGTCCCCTAAAAAGCTTTCTGGGATTCCTTCTGAGCACCTCCCTATGATCTTATTGGTACTTTCTATTTCCCTTGAGAGATGGGGTGGTGGGGAGATGGTCCCAATTTCTGGTCCTTTGCCAAAAAGCTGGGCCTTTATTTACCTGGCCCATCTATATGTTTCCCATGACTGCTTGTGTCCAGAATCAAGTGGAATAAAAGGAGGATAAAGGGAGGGAAAAAACCTACAGTGGGTTGCTCTTGAAACCATAAGTCCTCTTACTGGAAAGGAGGGCCTGTCTCCCTTAGTAGTATTGTCTGCACATTGCCACAGGCTGAGAAAAAGGAAAACAAACACAGGAGGTTTTCCCCAGTCTCTCTGGGCATTAACTGACCCCTTTTGTATTCCTTTAGCCTGAAGTACAGGGTTACCCAGCACTCTTCAGCCATACCAATGCCTCCTTTCTTGAGTTCAGGCTGGAGGATGTTAGAGGGGTACAGTGGTGAGTTGCTGCCTATTTGGTGGTACTTCAAGTCTTCTCCAATCTACTTCCTGTCTGAGGACTTTTCAGACAGATATCTTACATATTTGGTATGAAAGCTAGGATGGACTGTGCTTATTGTAACCAGATTCACTTTAACTAGTACAGACCACAATATGGCAGCTGGTCTTTACATGAAGATGATCACGCAGGGCAAGCTCAACACTACGTGTGCACTCCAAGATTCTCAACGTATAGTGGCTGTGATTTCATGAAGGATCTAGCAGCACTGACCTGAGTTATATCCAGATCTAATTCCTCACACTACAGCACTGACCCACCTAGGATTGCTGCTCAAACTGCCACGGGCACATGAATCCAAGGAGGATCTATCTTGCTAAAATGTGAGTTTTAACTCAGAAGATTAAGGGTGGGACCTGAGACAGCTTTTGCCCACCTCACATGTAATCTGACATTACTTGTGTGGGGATTATAACCTTCTACAACCCCTCCTTGTTTTTGGTACCAGGGATTGAACTCGGGACCTTGCACTTGTGAAGCAAGCAGGAGAACCAATGAGCTAAATCTCCAGACCCATAGGCTCCTTGTTAATCAAGGTACAAGATTAGCTGTGAAATTATGGAGGTCTAAGTTTATTTATCTTGTTCTGTCAAGTATGGAAATGTGGGATCAGGAAGGTGGAGATGCTTATAACTGGAGAAGAGTATGTGTACATATACAAGTACAGCATCTGCCACAGCATCCTGAGCAAGCAGGGCAACCATCCTTTTCTCCTCCCTACCCTGAGGATATCCTGAGTTCAAAGACAAGCCAGAGGCTATGCAGGGCTCAGGAATATTGCAAGTAGGCTAAATGACCAAAGATTTTTAAAAGAAATAAAATGGTGCATAAATTATATACAGTAAAAAATTATAAATCATTCAGAAAATACAAATAGTAGCATAATTTGATTTTACCATAATTATTATATAATTTCAAGTCCTAATGATTTCCTCCATGTAGGACTGTACTTCTCAAGTCACCTTTGCTACTAACTTAAAAAAAGAATGTATAAGTACTTTATTCTTTGTTTAAATTAGTGCATATTGGTTATGAAGATAAATATGTTTCTTTTTGGCAGATTCACACATACACATAACATACTTTGATCATTTTCATCCCCATTATCCTCTTGCCCTGACCTCTTTCCTAAGTGCTATAAACTTTTTAATAGCCAAGTAATATTCACTTTTGTGAAGCACATCTTTAAAATTTACTTAATCTTCTATTGCAGGGACTGATATTGTTTCTGATATGTGTGTAACTATAAATAATTTTGTCATTACTAACTTTCATGTACTTTTTACTCTTTTTGTTGGAAATTAACTGTCACCATCTGCCTGTCCCATAGTTATATGATGATAGCACTAGAAACAGATAACTTATTTCCTTGGTCAACAGACACAAAGAAATTCTGTTCAGGAGCCTCACTGCACCTGATTTTGATTATGAGATTTGGGTCCTTCACACTAATAAAGTTCAGAAAAGATTTTCAGCTGAGTTGGCACAATAGTGGGCTGAGTGTTGGGAATCTTGGAAGAGGAGATGTTTGCATGTGGGAGGCCCAAGGGTAGACTATGGTAGGCAGAGTTTGGCCCCTCTCAAGATTCTATACCTACTAATCTCTGAAACCTGTGGAAGTGATGTGACAATACTCTTGAGACTGCTTTGTTACATAGCACAACTGACCTCAAAAAGGAGTGATTATCTAGGATCTGTAACAGCAGAGAACTTTCTTAGGCTAGTGGAAGAAGAGGAAGGCAGAAGAGGAGATTCAGGGTATGAGAAGGTCTTGAAACACCATTCATTACTGGTTCTGAAGGTGGAAGAGGCCACATGAGAAGAGATGTGGGGGTCTTAGGAGTTAAGGGAGATGAAAGTGACCTTAGTCTTAGAACCAAATGAAATGAATTCTGCCAGTGATCCACATGAACTTGGAAGTAAATTGTTTCCTAGAATCTCCAGAAAAGATTGTAGTCCTGCTGAAATTTGGTCTTATACCCTGAGCAGAGTCCAGCTGAATGTATCTATACTACTGACCTAGAGAACTATAAGATAAAATGATATAACTTTAAGTCACTAAGGTTGTGCCAATTTATTACATAGCAATAAAAAATTAATACACAGGGCTGGGGGTTTGGCTCAGTGGTTCTGCCGCCTGCCTCACAAAGCGCAAGGTCCCAAGGTCAATCCCCGGTATCAAAAAAACAAAACAAAAAAACAAAAACGAAAATTAATACACATATGTTTCAAAGAACTTCCCCAGGGTACCTGCCTTATAATTTGGTTTAAGTTAGCTTACAAGTATCATGAAGATGTAAATGGATTATGAATTTTTTTGAAATGCAAAATAAAAACTTTTGGAGCATTTAAAAAATTACATAGAGATACAGAATGATCAAGATTAAAAATGAATTTAAAATGCCAAATAAGAACATTATATCTAAAGATTTATTTTCAGTGAAGTTGGTTAAGCATAGGAAAAATTCATTTTTCAAAACAAGGTATGGTATTTGGGGAAGACAGTTCAATGGCTATCTGAGGACACATGAAGGAAAGGGAAGTTGGTTAGACTTCTAATGACAATAATAAAAAAGCTAGATAAAAACCAAACAAAGCACTCCACAAACAAACAAGAACACATACCTTTATCGACAGATAGGTTGTTTTCAGTAACTGTTTCCTAGTGGAATCAGGAACAAGATACACCTGTCTACCCCCAATACTCCTTTAATGCACTGTCCTTTCCAGCTGTGCTCCTAGCCCAGTGAGAAACCAGCAGCCCCACTCTCGCTTGACAAGCTTTGGACACAGGGCACTGCACTTAGGAAAAGAAATCTCTGTATGCCAGGTAGACAACCTGAATTCAGTTAGCATTTGGAAGTATTCAGATAAAATACAAGGGTATAGGTGAGACACAGGTTTGTGTCCTGTGCACAGGGACAGAGGCTGCTCCTGCTGCTTGGCTCCTCAAATCTGCCTGGGCATGGAGTGATTTATTTCAGGCCTAAAAGTCTTCCCCAGTTTGACTCCTGTCCGGGCCATACTCTGATTAGGCCATAGCCTACTCATTTCAGTGGGAGTGAGGATACCTGGACCCCAGCCCTGGCTGTGCCTCTTTATTAATGGCTGGTGACCTGTAGGCAGGTAATCTTACCTCTGTTCTCAACCTTTCCAAACACTTATTATCAACTCTCTCTATAGGACCTGATATCTTCAAAGATTTTGCCAAATAGAATTGATGATTATTACTTATAATAATTATTTCCCTATTATTACTAACCAAAATATGTAATTGCAAACCAGAAAAAAAAGGTAGTTAATACTGAGTGCTTATTTGCCTCACAGTGAACCCTTCTCTCTAACCCTGTCAAACCCATATTTACCACCACATTGTGGGTCTCACACTGAGATGCGTTATCTCAACTACAGACTAAGGTTTGTAGTCTTTGTTCCCTCCTTCAGAGCAGAAACATCTAGTCTTAAAACTGCCATCCTAGTATGCAGAGACAGCCAGAGAGCTCCAGAGTTACTGAGAATCACCTGGACAGCAACTCTGTACTACTGCACACAGCACCAGAGAACTGGCTCTGGGAAGGGAGGCGGGCAGCCCGAGATTCTGGGTAGACAGGGTGACCAGTAGCAGAGAACTCACTGATCTACTTATGTCTCCATTTGCTCCTGCCACACACCAAAATTTGGTGATTCTGTGGAAGACACATGGGGGCTGAGGAGAAACCAAGTGGCAGGATCCAGGGTGGATATGGGTCTGAAGAAGGATGAGCTGCCCCCGGGGCTCTCTGTACTCACCAGGGAGGCTGCTGGCTGGTGTGCGGATGGTGCAGAGGAATCCGGAGAGGGTCTACGTCTCTGGCGGTGGCAGGGGGGAACTCCCGCTGGGGACTGCTTTCACTGGCCTTGTCCCACTGCTCATGGATAGGTGTGATGATTCCAGATATAATTCGAGAACGAAGCTCCTCACTGTTTTTGTAGGTCCTATAGGAAGTAGAGGAGAAATCAACTGCTTGCTGTTGGCTGTCAACCTTGGATACAGTATTCTGGCGGTGGCGACCCGGGCGGCGGCGGGCCTGACGGCTCTCAGCCTGTGCTTGGCCTGTCTGCAAGGGTGGGAACAGGCTGTCCGGTGGTGGACATAGATGAGGGGGGACAACAGCCCGGCGCTGTCTCCTCAATTTGGGCCTGAGCTTCTTCGGCATCTGAGTTGCCCCTCTTCATTTACCACCCCATTAGAAAGAGGTAAGGTTGTAGGGGCACAGGGCTAGACTGGCTGCTTCTGTCCCCAACCTTCCCTCAGACCCATTGTGTGCTCATCACACATCATGGGAAGAGTCATGGAAAACAAAGGCTGCTTGGGAGGATGAACCAGGCTCCTGGTTGGGTGGGCAGGGCTCAACATCAGTTCAGTCAATAATCCAGGGGTCCTTGGAAAGTGGCCCCTGCTATCTGTCCCATCTTGCCAAGGCCTTTTTCCTCTGCCTGCGAGACAAGCAATATGAGGTTTAGCTGAAGTAACAAGGAGTGGGCAGGTCTTCAAGCTCCTAAAAAACCTGCTATTTTAAAATGAGCCACGGGCCAGGGATTTAGCACAGTGGTTCCACCCCCTTGCCTTGCAAACACAAGGTCCTGAGTTCAATTCCCGTACCAAAAAATAAAAAAAACAAACAAATAATAGGTAGAGCCACATCCTGGACCATAAAGCAAAATTCACAAGTAAAATGATACAGAATGTTCCTTGACCACAGGGAGTCATAGTAGGAATCATAACAGAAAGGAAATTCTCTGAAAAAAATGTAAATCAACACACTTGTAGATAATCCAAGGGTCAAAGAGGAAGTTCTGAAAAAATGCACAGTACTAAATTAAAATAAAAATTCATAATAAAATATGTGGACTATAGCTAAACCACTGTCCAGAAGAAACTTTATAGCACTAAATGCATATATTGGAAAAGAAGAAAGATCTCAAATCAGTCATCAAAATTCTGACCTCAAGAACCTAGAAAGAAGAGCCAATCAAACCCAAAGCAATTAGAAGCAGGGAAATAAGACCAGAAATCAACATTAATAAAAAGAGGACAATAAAAGGAACTAGGAGCCAAAATCTAGTCCTTAAAAAATGAATGAAATTGACATCTAGTAAGATTGACAAATGTGAAAAGACAAAAGATTTGTAACCACTAAACAAAATGAATGCTAAAAATGACTTAATTCAACAACCTAGAGTAATTTTTAAAACTATAAATTACAATTCAGTCAAAATTAAATATATAATCTGAATAGTTCTAAAACCCTCAGTAAAATATTAAAAATTGAATTAAAAAATTAGAAACAATTATAAGCCACGAACAAACCTGGGCCTGGGGGTGCACACTGGTCATCACAGCACTCAGGAAGCAGAGGCAGAAGGATTTCCTTGAGTGTGAGGCCAGTCTGGGCTACACAGTAAATTCAAGCCAGCCTGAACTACATAAGGAGGGAGATCTTGTCTCAAACAAACAAAAAAACCCCACAGCCAAGTAGGATTTATTCTAGGCTGGTCTAATATTTACAAATCAATATAATCTATATCAATAAATTAAGGGAAAAACCAGACAATCATACCAAGTAATACAGAAAAAAAACAAAATCTGGGCCAGCACTGCACGGCAAGGTCCTGAGTTCAATCCCTGGTACTGCAAAACAAACAAATAAAATTTATCAACAGAAAAAGAAAGAAAAAAACCCCAAAATCCAACCTGATAACTCTATTGATTTTTCAAAATTCACAAAAACTAACAGCAGAGGAAAGAATTGACTTTCCTCAGCTTACTAATAAAACACATCTATAAAAAAACCTATCTCGAAAAATATATTTAATGGTAAAAGACCGAATACTTTGTCTTTAATAACCAGGAACAATGCAAGGATACTCTCTCTCACCAATCATTTAACATAACACTGGAAGTTAGAGGAAACACATAAGGCAAGACAAACAAGAGGCATAGATACTATGAAGTGAGAAATAAAATTGTCTCTATTAGCTTATGACATTAATTGTCCTCCTTGACATTCTCAAAGAAATCTACGAAAAAACCTCACTAGGTATTAGGGAAATGTAAATTAAAAGGGTAAGGTATCACTGCACAACTATCAGAAATAATAATAAAAATTAACATATGAACAATAACATAAGATGCAGACAAACTGAACCACTCAAATACTAGTGGTGGGTACAAAGTGGTAAAGACACAAGGGAAAACGTTTTAATTTCTTATAAAACTAAACATGAAATTGCCACTGTACTCTGAGTAAATGAAAATTTAGATGACACAAAAGCTTGTACATTAATGTTCACAGCGCCTTTATTTGTAATAGTAAAAAACTGGAAACAACCCAAATGTTCTTTAACTAGTGAATGGTTAAACAGTGAGACGTACATATCACGAAAATACTACAGAGCCAAAAAAATATACAAACTATTAATATACACCACAACTCAGATGGATCACAAGAGTTATATGGAGGTGAGAAAAGTCAATCTCCAAAGGTAATAAATTATATAATCTGATTATGTAAACAAATTGCTACCGGGTTAGAGAGCCAGGATAGGTATAGTTAGCAAAGAGCATCAGAAGGGATCTCTGTGACAATAAAAATATTTTGTATCATTATAGTTAAGTTAGTAACTGGTCATAATGTTGTAGTATGGTTTAGTAAGATGTTACCATTGGGTTAAATTATAAAAGCTACAAAAGGTCTATTATTTCTTACAACTGTATGTTAAGGCTACAATTGCTGGATCTCAAAATTAAAATTTTAATTTAAAAATACTTTTATATATCACCATAAAGCAAACTGGGACCCAAGGAGAACAATTGGATGAGGCACAGGGACCTTTATTCCTTCCCACTCGAGCACCTCCACTCTTATTAGCATAATATGCCAATCTCGAAGAATCCTATGTACAAAGAAAGAATCCCACAGTTAAAAAGCATAACTACCACTTCAATGCCTTTAAAGTCCTATGAGCGTGTGGCCCATACAAACCCTATACAAATCATGTTCCTATCTGGAACAGAATCTAGAGGACTCTGGCTTCCTTGCCTAAGCTGGGTGGGGAGAAATGTAACTACCCTTCCCCTTCAATCAGATGAGCTGGGTGTGATACAGTGGGGAGGTCTCTAAGACCATCCAGGTAGATGTTTATTTGTAGAACTCAGCCCCAACTCAAGAACTGTGAAGTCCTGCAACAGAAGTTCTTACATAATTTCTAAGCCTTGGAAGAACAACTGTCATTTTAGTAGTAGCAAATCCTCTCACCCTGACACAGAAGGGGCTTCGCAGGAAGGAACAAAACAGATTTAAACTCCTTAGCAAATCAATTGTTCCTACACAGGGCCACAAGACCCTACCTAAAAGAGGTGAGACACGCCAGTGACCTAACAGGGAAGGGCCTGGGAGAGGAAGGTGGCTAAAGGCTAAAAGTGGAAGGAGAGGAGGCAATCCATAGCCCTGCACTCAGAGCCTCAATTTCCATAGAGATGATTCCTGCCAGTCAGATTGTTTTCTCCTTTGTGTATTGCTAAGAGCTGGGCCTAGTACTAAACAGTCTATGTGCTGACATTCCATTGGGTTCTGAGACCACCATTCTGTGGTGGTACTTTTTTGCCTCTCACTTCATGGTAATCAAAATGAAAAACAAAATATCCCCCCCCCCGCCTACATTAACCCCAATAACAAATGCATTTAAAAAAACAAATGGAGGGCCAGGGATTTAGTTCAGCGGTTCCACTGCTTGCCTTGCAAGCGCAAGGACCGGAGTTGGATCTCCGGTACCAAAACAAAAACAAAAACAAAAACAACAACAACAAAATATATAAAACAAACAAATGGAGACACTCAAAATCTTCTTTCAGCACTGCTGGGGACACTAAATACTCTAATGAGCAAGAACTGCTTGGTAAATGCCTCGATTCTTCCACAGGCTTTTAAAATTTTTCTCCCAGTAGAATTCCAGGATGGTATTAAAGACCACACTCCATTCCCCGATCCCTGTCATGGTGTACAACACCCAGAGGAGCAGTGCTATTTGAAAAGCCAGGCCTGGCCTCATTTTCCCTCTTTCTTCTTTCATATACACACAATACATCCAACCTGCCAATTGCAGGCTTCCGTTATTTCATTTTAATGTTATAATAAAAAATATTTCTTATAAAGCAAATTTTGTCATATATATATTTTGTATAAATTAAATATATAATACATGTAATATATTATATATATAATATATATGTGTATGTGTTTTATATATATGTGGCCTAAAACAATTCCTTTTTATTCAATGTGGCCCTGGCAAGCCAAAAGGTTGGACATCCATTAGTCTACAACATGCAAACCAGACCCAATCCCTATCCTCAAGAAGATCTCCACGCAGCAACTCAGAAAATACTCATTTTGAAATACCTAAAAGGAGGTTAATGAAATGTCAAATGGGGGGTTGGGGAGCTCCTCTGAGAATTGACACTCAAACTGGAACTCAAGGGTGACAAAAGTAGGCTGTGTGAGGTGGGGAAGAGTGCTCTGGGCAGAGGGATGAAGTCTGAAGGGAAAGAAGGAAATGGCTTGTGGCTGAGGCAGAGCAACTAAAGGGAAAGTGGTAGAGGGTTAGGTTGAATAGTGAGCACTAGGCTTTAAGGTCCCATTGAGGATTTAATTCTTTGTCCCCAAAGCTATGAATATTCAATGGTGGAAAATTCTTTCAAAGAAATAAAATTTTTAATTGTGATAAAATGCACATTAACATGGGCCAGGGATTTAGCTCAGCAGTTCGGTGGCCTGCCTTGCAAGTGCAAGGACCCGAGTTCAATCCCCAATACCAAAAAACAAAATGAACAAACAAAAAAACCCACATTAACATGAAATTATCATCTTAATCATCTGTAAGCATATAGCTCAGGGGAATTAAGTATTTTTACATTGTTTCACTATCACCACCACCCACCTCCAAAACATTTTCTTTTCTAATCTAAAACTTTGTGTTCATTAAACACTAATTTCCCATTCTCTTTTCCCCCAGTCCTGGGCAACCACCATTCTACCTTCTGTCTCCATGGATTTTACTCTAGGTACCTCATAAAAATATGTATATTCATACATTTTTTTATTTTGGTGGTGACTGCCTTATTGTTGTTAGCATAATGCCCTCAAAGCTATAGTTCATGTTGTATCATGTCTGAAAATTTCCTTCCTTTTTAAGGCTGCATAATATCCTGTCCTACACACACATGCTCATATATATATATGTCAACACACACCCACAACCATTTATCCATTCACAATTAAAAGAAATTTGGCACTTGGGTTGCTTTCACTTTTTGGCTATTGTGAATAACATTGCTATAAGTGTAGGTGTACAAACATCTCAAGATTCTCTCAATTCTTTTGGGTGTATGCCCAAGGGAATTGTTAGATTTTAATTTAGTTTTTTGAGAAACTGCTATTCTGTTTTTCACAGTGGCTGTACCTCACATTCCCATTAACACTGCACAAGCATTCCAGTTTCTCCAGACTCTCTGCTTCTCTCCCTCCCAAATCTTGAGGTCAATAAGAGGGAGAAAAAGGCCCTAAAACGGGATAAAGTATAAATAGGGCCCTATCAGGGCTGATCTGACTTAAGTGAGTCCTTTACAAATAAAGGCAACAAAGCAAAGAAGCTGCTTTTAGCAAATAATAGCAGCTTCTCAGTAAATAGGGCAAATGGACTCAAAGGGAAGTATATAACCGCTGGAGCCAAGGAGTCCAGGAATTGTGTACACACCTGAGTAGGTCGTCCTTGGGCATCCAAGTAATAAATATTTCACCCCAGATTCCTTAGCCCCTTAAATATCAGCATAAGCCTAATTCTTTTTCCTGTTAGTTATTAATCTCTCTCCCCTGGTGTTAGCCCATCCACTCTTTTTCCCAGCTAGCTGCCACTATCTCTCTTTTCTAATCTCAGCCCATCCCCACATGGATGTGATAAATTCAGCTTTTTCTAGCTAGCTGATAAATACCCTGATTTTAGTCTCTGTTTACTGGAAAAAACTTTAAAAAGCCTGTTTTTAACAAGTGGATTCCTTATGACACTAACCACCTATGAAACAGAAAAACTCATTACACTGATTAATCTAAGCATCATAATTCTTGTGACTATAGATAATATCCTTGATGAGACACAAAGGACAACAAAGAAAAATCTGGAAAGAAAACACATTTGGAACTTTAGTAGGTTTGTTTTTGGTAGGCACTAACTGAGTAGTTCACAAACTACTCACATTATGCACATTTTAGGATCAAGTAATGAGTAAATATATTGATCCTATTGGGAATCAGAATTCTTGCTGAAGGGCAATGTAATTTTGGAACAAAAGAATACTGTGTTAATTAAAAAATAGAGGGATCAGTTTGTACTCACTATAACTTAATAAAAAAAGATTCCTAGCTCTGTAAACTAAAGAGTCTAGAAACTATATCTTAGTATTAATAACAACATCTAGGGCCCAGAGTTTGGTTTTTAAACGATTCTCCACAATTAGAAATCATGGCTCTTTAGAGAAATGGCTGATTTCAAGGCAGAGGTAAGGAAAGTACAAGGAATGCCCACAATATCTTGTAGTGCCAGAAAATAAGGAAATGCTCCAAGATGCCATCAAAAGGACAAAAGAACCAGCTCATAGGGTCTCCTACTGGTCAACTCTAGGACAATTTGAACAAAGAATGACGTAAATAGACTATAATACCAAATAAAAAGACTCTAAACCCACAAGTCTATACAGGTAAAGTACGTATAACACTATACATGTAAAGTATGTATAACACATTAAAAATAAAGCAGACAGGGAGAATAGCAAACTATTTTATATTAAAAACACTAACTTAAAAAGTAAAGATGATAGACATAGAAAATTACTATCTTATAAAAACTCAGGCAAAAATCATCAATAGATACTAAAATCAATGGGCAAAAAACTATTAGGAAAACAGAACATTCATAGCCTCCTAGCATAACTCCACAGATTATTTTTTAAACACAAAGGAAAACTGTCACGAGCCATTCTATATAATTTTAGGGAAAAATTATTTCATAATTAAATTATGATTAGGGCTGTCTGAAGCCTAGTCCTCTTGCCTGCGGCAGGCTATATGACATGTGGAAACATAACCATTTTGCCACTGGTCACAGCTGAGACCTCACTGGTCCCATGATGCTGTGACACTCACAGGCAAGATTACATCAGCTGAAATCCTGGTTCTTTGAGAACTGGGCAGTAATAAAAAAGAGAAAGGTTTTACCTAAGGAGAGAAAAATTCCTTATCAGCTTAACCACTCACTGTTGTAAGAATGCTTTCCTCATCTTACCACCCTTATCCACATAAACTACTTATTGACCTAAAATCCTCTTCAGCATAAGGAGAACCTCATCAATTTAGGATTATTGCAGCCCTCTGAGTCACCTGATAACCCTCTGATTATGGTATAAACCAATACATAATGGCAGTCTTTGTCTTTGCTGTTCTGAGGCACTGACCTCCCAGCCCCCCATATACTTTGAAATTACACAAGTCTCTATTGTCTTTTTTTCCTTTAGTCCTTGCCATCCCCCTTTATAGGCAGGTGGAGGACTGATCACCCTCCAATAGAAAATAGCTGTCTTTATTATACAAAAATCTGGAAGATACTGTGTTAACCAAGTGATCAAAGTAATAAGCATCAATTTTAAGACAGACATCATGTCCTGGCTATGAAGCAGTGAGGACAATGGCTTAAGTAGTGTTCTTGTCAGAATTGTTCAACCTGACTCACAGGAGGAAATAATCTTATGAACCAAATCACAGGGAAATAATCTGAACATTCTGCACAACTGACCTTGAGACTTTAGAGATACCAATGTTAGAGGTGGAGTGGGTGCATCTCAATGGTAGAGAGCTTACCTACCATGAACGAGATGCACAATCACAATTCAATTCCCAATGTCTTGAAAAACATTACTACATATCCTAAGCATGATAACTATATTAATGTCAGGCAGGATTGCCTTTTTTATTTTATTTTATTTTTATTTTTTGGTTTTTTGACTCACTATGGAGTTGAGGCTGACCTGGAACTCACTATGTAACCCAGGCTGGTCTCAAACTCATAGTGATCCTCCTGCCTCAGCCTCCAGGGTACTGGGATTATAGGCGTGTGCCACCACACCTGGTAGGATTGCCTTGTGATACCCATGCTGTAGTATTTAGAGATGAAAGTTTATAAAGCCTGGAAATTACTTGTCAGACAGTTTAAGAACAAAAAAGAATATAGAAAAATTGAGTAAATGTAGCAAAATGTTAAAAATTAGTGAATCTAGGTGATAGGTAATTAATTGGGTGTTTACCGTATTTTTTTGAAATGATCTCTTTGCGGGGATAGTTTGCAAAGTTTAAAATAAAAAGCTTAGGATGCCAACAGAATGAGAAGATGAGCCACATTGGGAGAAAATATTTTTAAAATTACTATCAAATGAAGGACTATTATCTAAAATATACAATAAACTGTTAAAACAATTAAGGGAATGAATCACCAATCTTAAACTTTAGCTAAAGATCTGAATAGACACTTCACTGAAGAAATACAAATGGCAAATAATTATAAGATGCTCCATATCACATCTCTAGGAAACTACACATTAAAACAATGAAATATCACTATCAGAATGGCCTAACTCCAAAACACTGACAACCGAACAACAGTACAGTAGACCCTTGACTTATGAACTCAATTTGTTTTTGAGGGCTGGTTTTAACTCAGATTGGTCAACTGAAGTCTCAGGGTCCTGTACACAGCCTTCAAAGACTTTTGCTTGTCTAATTTTAGGCCACACTTTTTCCAGGCAGAACTTAAGTGTCTATAAAAGACATTGGCCTAGGATTTCTCAATTAACCTCACACAGGAAAGGTTGGTGCAACTGGCCAGCATTTTGTCTGTAACTCAAGACTTTGGTTGTAAGTCAAAACTAAAATTACGGTCACTGGGCTGGGGATTTAACTCAGTGCCTCCTAAGTGCAAGGTCCTGAGTTCCAGCCCTGGTACCAAAAAAACCAAACCAAAACAAAAAATAAAATTACAGTTGTAACCCAAGTTTTTTGTCAGGCCAGTTGTAACTTGAGGGTCCACTATAACTCTCATTCATTATTGGTGGGAATACAAGAGACAGCCACTCTGGAAGATAGTCTATATGGAATTATTTTCCAACTACTGGACACTGAAAAGGCAAAACTAAGAAGATAGTAAAAAGATCAGTAAAAAAAGACCACAAAGATTACAGGGTAATGGGAATAAAGAGCTCAGAGGATTTTTAGAGTTGAAACAAATTCACATGGTACTATAATGGTGGACATAAGTCATACATTTGCCGAAACCCACAGAAGGCACAACATTAAATGTCAATCTTAATGGATACTATAGTCTTTGGGTGATAATGTCAATGTAGGTTCACCAATAGTAACAGAGGAAACACTGGTGCTGGATGACAAGAGGGGAGGCTGATACATGACAGCACTCTACTTTCGGCTGTTTTGCTGTAAATCTGAAATTGTTCAAAAAAATAAAGTCTATTAAAAAAACACTGGAGCATCATTTTATTTCATGGAAGGTAGCTCCTACATGAGTCTTCACTTCAAATAAATAAATAAATAAGAAAACTGAGAAGTGACTACGCCCAGGAGTGAGAAATTCTCCTGTTAACCATTCTTGATTCTCTGGGCATTAAAACCTCATGCCTTATTTCTTGCCTTTGGTTCTCTCTTCCTTTTCCCAGGGAAAAGACATCATTTAGAAGTACCTGTGGAAGTCACCCAGGTCTTCTGCACTGATAAAATCATCTAAGTTCAGAGTCAAGTCTGTTACTTGCTGTGAGCCATATTCCTAGAAAAATGAAAATAGAGAATAAGAGATGGGGGATATTTCTGGGATGAGTGTATGGGTGGGGAGAACAGTATACAATCTAAAGAAACACTCATATTCACAAAGAGAACTATGTTAGGACTCTGCAATGTATGAAACACTTTTCTGATTTAAGAATACTTCTTTTCCTATAGCAGGAAACCTATTTCCCAGGCTTTGGCTTGGCACAGGCATGCAACCAAGGTACCAAATGGATGCACAACTGTGACCTGCAGCAACACTGTGATCTGCAGCAAGCCCATTAGGAAGAGAAATCTCGTTAATGAGGTAGCAACAGAGGCTGCAGGCATCACGTTAGTAGCTGATGAGAAGGGGCACCAGGCTGGCAATACTGGCCAGTACCTAAGGCTGAGAGGATGGGGAGCAGCAGTATTTTCCAAGGTGTGGGGCAATGCCGCTGGGAGCCAGCCTTGAATCTGTTTCAGTGAGCTATCCTAGTCTTTCAACAAGCACTTCTGTTTAAACTAACCTGGAGGGCTTTTGTTGTTTGCACCTAAGAATCCTGTCTGATATAAGATCTAAATGTTCATCCATAAAGGAAGGGATAATGGAATATAATAATCAAAACAAATGTGGTCTAACCTATGTGGTACCATGTAAAGACCTCCATACTGAGGGAAAAAAGCAAAGTGCTGTATAATATATACAGCAGGCTATTTTATAATACATAGAAAACCAAACCAAAACAACAAAAGCCACTGTCCTTAAGGTGCTTTTAGTTCAGTGGAAGATTACAAATATTAAAGCAGAGCACAAATAAATACAAGGTGCGTACAGCTCTTTTACAGAGAATATTTAAGTTTAAAAAATTTATTATGGTAAAAGACACATTGCCATTAACCTTCTCAAAATACTCTCCATTTCAAACACACTTATCCCATGTTCTTGCCCCTTTCTGAAGCAGTTCTGAAAAACTTCTTCCATAAACTGGTTTTATGAAGTCTCATAAAAAATGCAGTGAATGCCATTCAACAGAAAGGCAAACTAGTAAGAATGTTACACCGCTTACACCAGATGTCCCACTGTGTGACTTCTCACTTTTCCCCAAAGTCAAAATGACCATGAAAGTGTCAGATCCCCAGCCAGGTAAAAGAGAAAAAAACTTCCCAATGCAGTCACAGATTCTGCAAGGCACAAAGGATGACAGGAAGCCAAGGCCCAGGTTTGAGATAAACAGCCTGCTCCCATGCAGCAACACCTGCAGGTCCAGGTGGCCCTGGAGACCACCAGACTTCCTACGCCTAGCACAAAAGACTTCCTCCACTCCAAGACAAGAATTTTCCACTCCTCCTGGCACTACCCCACCCCTCCCCAAACTCCTCTGTAAAGTCTGCCTTTGCCCAAACCCCAGGATCAACAGCTTTGTCACTCTTGATTGACCTGCACCCAGGCTGAAAATAAAACCTCACTTACTGCTTCATTTTTGCCTGCCCTGGTAGCCTTGGTTTACCCTAATAGAAAGGTAAATGTTTTGAATTGATTCAAGACACAGAGGGAGCCATGACTGTGCAACTAGAGATACAAAAGAGGATTGTCAAAACCACTTCAGAAAGTGGCAAGAATAATGGAATAAGTGTGTCTGAGGCAAGGGGGAGTATTTTGAGGCAGACTAATGGCAATGTATTGTTTGCTGCAATAATTTTTTAAAAAACTTAACCATTCACTGTATTTTTTGGTCACACTATGTGTTAAGTATCAGGAAGGAAAATAAAATGATGGTGAGGTATAGTTTAGATTTTTCTGGTGGAGGTAGATAGTTAGATCTGAACTTTGGGGTAGTGAAAAAAGAAAGGGTGTCATTAGGCTTGAGGGACTGGTGTGTGTATGCATGTGTGTGACGGCAAATTGGGGAAGGGAGTGCCAGCATAAGAAAAATGAAGCTCCAAGGTAGAAAAATCTCAGCTTGTTTAAGAAACGAAAAATAAACATCTGGAATTACAGTAAGCTTTTCTGTCCTGTGTTATCACTGAATGGATTTACCTTATTTAGCCATTCCCCTGTGGATGGAAGTCCCTTCATCATCACACAGGCATTAAATGCCTTCAAGGACAAAGCTTTTCTGTATTTGAGGTTCTCAACTCAGGATAAAGTTCCAGAAGTAGAATCACTGGGTACAGATCTAGATCTATACTGTTAAATGCTTTTCAAAGCAGCTACCCTCAGCAGACTACCTTGTCTCAGAAACTCACCAGCACATTGATGATCATGCTATTCTCCACTGGGACAGCTTTCATCAGGAGTTTTCTGGACCCATCCTTGGACTCATAGCGGAGGACATACAGGTCTTTATTATTGCTCCACCCAGCTGGTAGTAGTTCTGACTTCTTATCACTGGGACTTGGCTGAGAAAACACCAGGGTTGAGAGGAGAAAGATCATGACCTCAGAAGTGTAGCTACAAAGGACCTTACAGATAATCTAATCCCACTCCTCAATTTACAGATGAGGTTATGAAGGTAAAGAGAAGTGACTTGTCCAAGATCATACAGCAAGTTAGAGGTCTAAGAGCTGGATTTCTGAAATGTTCTCCCCTATCTGGCTACCTTTATGACACAAGTGGACCCTGTCAAGAATCTGCAGCTTTGGCTTAGTAATCGTCTCTGCACCCCACTGCCAGGAATAAGGCCAGTCACCTCAAAGGATAGCATGAACTTCTGTAGCAGTGATTTTCAAAGTTTGCACCTTGGTCCATTTGCAATAGGATCACTAAAATGTTTGCTAAAAACACAGACCTCAATGTACCTCCCCAACCAACCAACTTCAATGGTTTAACAAAATTATGTGCAATATTCACATGTACTCAAAATTCAGCCTAGTTAAGATTTATGTAACTTTCACCAACTTATAAAACAGCATCACCAGTCAATGTCTTTGCTAAAGCCTTGGGTAGCATACTCCAACTAACTGTCCTCCACCCTTCTCAACAGTAACCACTACTCTGTATTTTTAAAAACTTTTCTTTCAAATTGTTTTACTATGCTGTCAACCATAAAAATATGTTGTTTCAATTGTTTTTGAATTTTGTATAAATGACATTAGATCTGCCAGCTGCCTTTTATATTCAATACTGTTTTTGGAGATTCATCAAAGTTGATGCATTCAGCTACAGCTGACTCACATTCACATCTATAAAGCATTCACTGGTATGACTGCGCTGCAATTTACATGTCCACTTGATGAAAATTAGAATTGTTAAAAAAAAAAAAATTAGAAGTGTTTCCAGTTTGTTTTGCTTTAAAAACAATGCTCCTATGAATATTCTTATACACACGTAGATGCAATTCTATACAGTAGGCTTGGAGGAAAAACTTAAGATTTGTAAACTATAAGAAAAAGGGAAATTGTTTACAAAGAACAATTGACATTCACACCAACTAGCAATGTGTGAGGGCTCCTACTGCTCCATGCAGTCTGCAACACTGCTATTATCCAGTCTTTTAACTCTTGCCAGCCTGATGGATCTAAAATGCGTCCTCTGTGATTGTGATGTTTTCTTTTCTCTTCCTTTTGAATAATTTTAAGACACTAAAGATTAAGACATATTTTTCAAAATTTTTCTATGTTTAAAAACAAATTGGGAAGCACAAGGAAAAAAAAGTGAAAACAGAAGTTAAAAAAATGGAAACAAAGCTTTTTTACATGGACAGGGGAAGGGGCATGGGGGGATAGGAAAAAAAGAAGTGGGAAGTATCGTGTACAGGCACGAATTTTCTATGATGAGTATTAGCATTGTGTATGTCTAAAATGTACCAATAAATGTTTTGCTATAAAAAAAAAATCCAGTTATTTCTTGGTGGGGGAAGCTTGCCTAAACAAGATCCACAAAAGAAAAAAAAAAATGCCACCTTTGAGACTATTCATAATGTAAAGCATATGTTCAAAGACAGAGGCTACAGACAAAGCTAATAGGCACAGGCTAGGAGAGTATTGGCCACACCTACCAATAAAAAAGTTAGTAATTGCCAAATAAAGCGAATGCCTAGAAAATGAACAATAAAATTTGGGAACCCAAAACACTGGCAAAAAGATAGGAATGAGCAAAAGAGAACATAATATTATATAAAGAAAACTTGTTCAACTTTACTAGCAACTAGAAAAGCACCCACTGAAATAATGAGACACTGGGTTACATCCATCAGACTGATAGTGCCATTTTCTACTTTTTGCTAGATGTTTGTGTGGGTACGGGGAGACCTTCAGGCACTGCTGGGGCATTCAATCTCATCCAGCTACTTTCAGGGGCAATCTTGCAGTATTTAGTACAACAGGGGAAGCCAAAACATCATGGTCCAGATTCCCTACTTTGGAAGAAATCCATGTACAAATATACGGGAGATATAACAAGGCATCTTCAGCACAGCCCTGAGTAGGGCAGCCAGAATACAGGCAAAATGTAAATATACTTATAGTAGATTGCTATATAGCAACCAGAATAAACAAACCAGATCTAATTGTAGCATTATGGACAAAAGTAAAAAAAAAAAAAAAAAAAATTTAAAGAAAAGTTAAAAAAATAGGTTTATAGTCAAGTACTATTTATGCAAAGAAGAAAAATTAAAAGCACACAGAATAATACTACATACTTTTTCACGAGTACTTATGTATGTTATTCAACATGAACTAGTCCAGGTGGAGTAGGGAGGTCTGTATTCATGAGAACACAGTGGGAAGGAGTGGGACCCGACATGAAAAACACTGGCAAAAGACAAAGGTAGCAAAGCAGGAATTTCCATGTGTCAAGGACAAAGGGAGGCCTGGAATTTAAAATTGCCATCTCTCTTCTTTGGTCACCTCAGTTATCAGGAATCCACTAAGAAAACTAAGGATGTTGCAAATGGCATGGTTTAAACCTGGCTGGATGGCAGTGGAATTCACAGGCCTGAAGCAGAAAAAGGAGTGGCAAAAAACAAAAGTGAAACTATCAAACCATTCTGCTAAGTGGGAAGAGAAACCATTCTTTTACCCCAAAGGATAAATTTTCTATGACATACTTAATGTGGTAGATTTACTTTGGAAACCAGGGATATGAGGATATTCATTATCTTTGTTCTGTCAAGGGCCTTTAATTTCTAATATATCCTTCATGTACAGCACAATCTACCAGGATTCTCTCTTGAAACATACATAATTTGGTCTGCTTATTACCCTATCACCTTTGGCCTCCAGAGTAAGGCATGTTTTTTGAGATCAGGTAAGGCTGATACCTTTCACTGTGGTGGGACTAATGTTCCCCAGACAACCAAGGTAGGACTGACAGGACAGCCCTAGTATTATCAGGCCAAATACAGCATTTGATTGCCTTCTGGGCCCTGAGATCAAATATCAAGAACTGCAGAAACCACTGTTGGAAAGCAGCCAAAGTGCATGGTCTTCCAGTGCAACATCCTCAGATGAAAACCCTAAGGCCTTAAAGGGGCTAAGACTTGCCCAAGAGTTAGGTGCAAAGCTAGGTTTGAAATTCAGAGCTCCTGGCCTACCATGTTATAGATGGAGAAGACTGTTGTCACTCAGGTCCACCGGACTGGCCCCAAAAAAGTAAAGATAATTTTCTTAGACAAAATCCTGAGGCTAGAATTATTCTTTAATGGGCATGAATTCACCCCAGTGCCTCTGAGCTAAAATGCACCTAAAGAAACTCCAACAGACCATTTTCTCTTTTTACAAATCCTTGGATTTCCTCAACAGAAAATTTTCTAACCTGTTTATGGCCACAGTTTAAGTCTCTACAGCACCTAAACCACTTGACACAGCTACATAGCTCTTAGAGCACTGGGGCTGTCCTCAAGAAGGAAATTCAAACGTTAATTTTTATTGAAGTCAACAGATACTACTCTTATCAACTTTTACACACATAATTCTGCTGTGTCAGTGTAGACAAAACAAAAGAGAACGCAGCCAAACCTAGTTTTCTATACAACTGTTCATGTATTATACAGTCAATTCTTGGGACCCTTATTTCCTTCTTATCACTCACAAGGGTAGGGAGCAAGAGGTGGCTGGAAGAATGCAAATATCCTCCAAGCTTGGAAAATACTTGGTTTCAGCTGAATCTGCTGGCCCCATGCTGCAAAACTAAACTCCCTCTTAAATAAACTAACAGGAAAGATGCCATTCCAAAGGTCTTTTACTGTGATCCACAGCAGACTCGCAGAAGTGAGAGCAACCTAAGCTCCAAAGCCTCTTCAGGAGAAAAGGCTGAGAGAAACCCAAATGCATCACACTCTAGTTTGTAATGCAAACATTTGTCCCCTCTGAGGTATGCAAGATTTAGCACTGAGGTGGACAGAAAGGCAGTGGACAACACCTTCCCAAACTCCTATTCCCCAGGCTCATTGATCTCCCCAAAGATGTCTGGAACTAGCATCATTTTCTGATCTACAGTAGCTGGGCAAGAAAGGGACACCATGAGCAGAAAGACCTTTGGAAATGTGTTCTTTCTTTTTTATTTACTTTTACAAATCAGCATTAAAAGGAGAATACAGTATATTCTTTCTGTACATTTCACTTGAAAATTTGAGGGTCTGCAAGCCAAGTTGTCTCAGCATTGCCCCAGCAGCCAAATTTTAGGTTTTTAATTACAGTGTTGGCACTTTGTGATAAATAAGTAGGTTTTGGGTTGCAGTTTGGGCACTGAGTATCTAAAAAGTTCGCCATCACTGGTCTAGAGTACTGACAAGAGGATGACACCAACTGGAAGGCACTGACTTATCTGAAATGATGTCCTCACCTGTCAAAGTGCCTCAGAAGTATTCACAGGATATGTGAAGATATGAGATGGCAGCAAGCCCACAGTGCTAACGTATGTCTCTGTAACAAGCTCCTAGTCCTGGGAGAGAGGAAGAAGGAGTTCTGACAGTGAAGCAGAGCAGAAATAGCTGGTTGATGCAAGGGACTGCCTTATTGATTATGCCCAAAGCAGACTGTGAAGAGTGCAGGTTGTAAAAGAGTTAACCCTACAAATGGCTTGTTTTGAGAAGGGAGTTTGGCCAAAGTCTATGTACCGAGGTCAAAGTAACTCTTATCCAAAATATTATTCCCACAATTAAAACCTTCTTAACTACAAGGACAAGGTTATTTGCTAACTACAACCCTATATTTTGTCTGTTCTGTTTCTAATTCTAAAATGCTTTGTCTTTTCCTTTACAGGCCTTGCCTACACTAGTAAAGTGTCCATAACAACTACATGTCCCCTCACATAGACCGTTTACCCTAATCTATGACTTCATCAATTAATAGCACTGGTTTGGACTGGCCAGGTTACTTGTTGCTAGTACTAGCCATCCTGGCTCTCTATTTCTCTGTCTATTTAATTCTGTCTTTGAGTTTTTCTTTAACTCTTGTGTCATAACACTGAGCAAGAGATCAGAACCCACTACAAGGGTCCCCTGTAAAAGGCTCCCACAGGATGAGAGTAAGGGGAGGGAGGAGGATGGCGGTGGGGGGCTAGTGGGCAAGGCAGATTTGTTCCATCTATAGGATGTGTCCAGTGGGGATGCTCCCAGGTTAAAATCAAGTTTTATTCTTCTTTCCAACCTATTACCACTTACACTATCCATACATCAGCTTTCCAGTAGAACTTTCTGGGAAAAATTGAAATAAAATAATTGGGGCAAGACAAAGTCATTAAACTGTATAAGTGAGCCATGCAAGGAAGCTTAAGGCTTTTACTCTAGGGATGGAGGGACTTGCAATGAATGGGAAATCTGAAACCTGGGAGTAGGGAGAGGGGGCTTTCTTCAGTTAGCCCCAATGTCTGAAATGCTGAAGAGCAAGGTATGAAGTACACTGTGAAAGAAAATCCAGGAAGAGGAATCTGGGAGGAGGAAATGGTTCCCGCTTCCATGGGTATGTGTGTAAGGCTAGCCATTTTCCCACCTTACCCCAATCTCAGTCCTAGAGCCCACACAAGAGATGAAGAATGAGTGTGGAGATGGGAATGGGGATGCTGAATGTGTGTCTGGGGTCCCAGGAAGATACCAGAGTTTTGGAAAGAAAAAAAAAAAATCAGAAAGCAATGATAGTTCTTATGCTCTGATTCCTGCTGATGGGTATAAAGTGTGAAAGGGGTATAGTGGTCCTAATCCTTAGTTTTATGGGACAGAAGGAATACAAATAATGACGAGGGGAAGGACAGATACCTGCTAAATGCTAAGAATGTATAAGGTGTGTTTGAGAAGGGGTTCTAAAGGCTGAGTCAGAAGAGGAAAATCAATAAGTTGGTGATGTACATCTGAGAAGCTAGAACAGGACTCATGGGTTTGGGAACTGAAGGGGTTAGAAATGCGAGGAAGTTTAAAAATCTCACTGCAAGCGGCAAGAGGTGGGGTGCCCCCCCCCCACTGCTAGTCTTGGTCCTGAAAGTTCTGGCACAGTGACCTTGAAGGGCAGGACTGAAGTACTGAGTGCCCAGGTGTATGTGGGGCGTTTGGCTGCAAGAGTACTGCCTCTGATGGAGCAGATGAGAATCAAAAGGAGCAGTAAGGGGGCCAGGCCCAGTTCTCCCAGGAAGCTGATGTGGTTAAGGGTCACAGGAAGGGACAGGGAAGATGGGAGAATACTACAGCAAAGAATTAGCAAGGTAGGCTGGACCCAGTAGTCCTGGGGATTTGTGGAGATGTAACAAGGCCAGTTCTTAAGAGGTAAAAACAGGCTGGTAGAGTGGGAAAGGCTGGCCAGCCAAGCGATGACAGACAGCTATGGGAAAGACTCTCACACCGGGGTCTTTATGTGGGGGTAATAGTTCCCTAGAGCCTGAGCTGGGGATGACAGTGGTGAGTGGACTTCACTGGGCCCTTCAGTAAAGGGTGAAGGATGCGTGGGCCTATGCTGAGGGGTGAAGATGGGACCTTGGACTGGGGCTGAGGCCAAAGCTCTCTCCTATACCGATGCTTAGGTATAAGTCTGGTGAAGACTAGGTTGGGTATAGGGAAGTACTGCTGACCACAGTCTCCTCAAACTCACTCTGTGGCTGTGTGGTCAAGGAGCTCTGAGGGGAGAGGGTGGGTTTCGCTGCCAAACCACACAATCTTGCCCCAGAGGCTGCAAGATTGTGCTGACACAGCGTTCAGTCCCAGGGTTTTGTTTACCAATCGGGCTATAACAGCTGTGTTGAGAAGGCCTCAGGGCAGGGCTGGGCCATTGGAGCTCCCTATTTAACACCTCCCCGTATCAGGAGCCCCAGGGCAGGGAAGGTCTTGAGGGTGAGGGGCGGAGATTAGGCCTCGGGCCATCTGATTCTGGGCAGAGGAGAGCTCCCACCCCATCACCCGGGCTGGCTCCGTGGCGTACCTGGTCGCCGGCACCCAAGCCGTAGTAGCCGTGTGTCACCACCTCCCAGTGCAGGAAGCAGACGAGCGCGTCTTGGGCGCAGGTGATCGCCGGTGCCGCAGAAGCGAAAAGTACCTCCAAGCCAGCCATGAGCGCTCGCGGCTTCTGTGGTCGGAAGAAAGTGTGGTGGGAAAATGAGCTGGCTCCGCCCTCGGAGTAACTAACTTCGCAGGACTCTACTGCAGGTTACGCGGGGACTTTACCCGCGGTCAAAATGGAGCAGCCCGAGGAGTGTGGCGGGCCACCGGAAGTACCTCCAAGCGCGGGCGCAGCTTAATTTTGCAGGCCGGGTTGGAAACAAGAGCTCGACCTTGAAAGGTTCTTAGAGAACCTGAAGGTTCCGATTCACTCATATATTGGTATTTTTTTTTCCCCTCATTGAGTTTATTGGCACATTTTAGGTATGCAGTACAGTTATATTCATTATTGGGATCTTATACCTTTACATGACAGGTCTTGGTTTTCATTTTTTCCCCTTGTCCCTGCCCTCCCTTCCCCTCCCCCTTTACAAACACTTCATTTCCATTTTTTCATTTTCTCATATTTTTTTCTTTTCCCTTATTAGCTTTCCTCTACCCTTCCAAGTTTCCCTACACCTTTAGCCCCTTTTCTTCCTATTAAACATTGTCAATTATATCATTAGGATCTTATGTACTATTATAGTTTATTCACACCAGAGAAACTATTCGGTATTTACACATGTGTGACTTAATTTCACTTAGGAGTGTATCATCAAAATGTATCCATTTTCCTATGAATGAATCTAATTTCTCATTCTTTATGGCTGAGGAGTATTCCATTTTATAGAAAAAAACACATATTTATCCAGCTTCCTACTGATGGGCAAATGGGCTGTTTCCAAGTTTTAGCTATAACAAACTGTGCCGCTATAAACATAGGTGTGCATATATCTCTGTGATATGATTCTTTTTCATAAACTGGTATTAATGGTAGTACCATTTCACAGATGAGGACACTGAGGTACAGAGGGATAATTTGAGCAAGATGATACAGCTAGCCAGTGAATGGCAGAGATGGTACAAAACCCAGTTGTCTAGCTCCTAAGACAGCATTAATTACGTGTTTATTGTGTGTTACATCCTGTGCCCAACCTTTACACCACCCTCTCAACAAATCCTAAAGGGTAGATCAAACGAAAGCAGAGTTGAAGCCACCCAAGAAGACAAAGCTTCTGATCAAATTTCAGGTGTGTATTTGTATATATCCTTTATGATTTTGAATACCTATTATTTATTTAACAAGTTTCTTGAAGTTCAAAAAACATTTTTTTTTATTTTTTGGTATTGGGGATCAAACTTGGGACCTTGCCCTTGTGAAGCAGGCGGGGGAACCACTGTGCTAAATCCCCAGCCCTTGAAGTTCAATTATTGTTTTTACTCAAATAAATTTAGTTTCTCTATCCTAGGCAGCACTATAGCCCATACCTCTCTCACTTGGATGCCAGGCAGTAGCCTGTGAGCTCCATCCTATCTGCCTATATCTGTTCTGCACCCTGCTACCGGAGAGATCCCGTTAGAACACAAGTCAGATCTCTTCCCTCCATTCCAAATCTTGCATGTTCCCAGTATCATAGACAGCTAAGTTAGTTAAAAAATATTATAAGGCAGTTAGGCAGTGCTGGGCCCTGGACACAGAAAACATTTGAGACACATTTGCTAAAAGGGTCAGGATTCAAAAAGAAGAAAGTACTACACCCACATACTTCCCTTAGAGATGAATAGAAATGATTGATATTCTAAATAGGTATCTCTCACCTTGGTCAGGAACCAAACCTCCCTAACCCATTCCTTCTGGAGAAATCTTTCCCCATTTGATTGCCATTTAATCAATATTACCTAAGTGACTTTACTTGTAATCTTATTGATTGATCATAGCTTTGTCCCATCTCATGATTTCCGATTGGATCAATATTACCTAAATGACAATACTTGTAATCTTATTAGTTGACTGTAGTTTGTTCCCACTTTGTACTTGCCTCACTTCATGGCTTTGCTCATGAAAACTCCTTTGAAAAGCAAGGTGGGCAGACATCCCACTTTCTGGTCCCCCTTCTCTCTCTCTTAGTTCTCTCAATAAGTTCTTCCTACTCTTTTTTTTTTGGTACTCAGGATTGAACTCAGGACCTTGCTCTTGCGAGGCAGGCGGCCGAACCGCTGAGCTAAAATCCCTGCCCAGTTCTTCCTACTCTTAACCTATGTTCTTAGAATTCATTATTCAATTTTAGAGAACAGGAATTGAGCATTTCTAACAGGTTGGGAGTTACAGTATTTCCCTTATTTGGATTACTTGGTGTCCAAGTAATTAGTTAAGCACACTCAACAGAAAAGTTCACTACATGGTGTGCAGTAATGGAACTATGGTCATTCTGCCCCTCCCATTGGTAGCTATCATTTCCCACTATCCTCTCATCTCCTGTAATCCTGACTGCAATGATCTCTCACCCACCTGCTTCTTCTCACTCACAGACATCTGATCTGACAGTAAAGCTAGATGGCTCCACCCTCAAAATATATTCTGAATTCACCCATTCCATACCACCTCCACTGCCTCCCCATTGTCTGATCCACCAGCATCTCATGCTTGGACTATTGCAGTGCCTTATTACCAATCTCCTTCTTTCACATATTCTGCTCTCCAGGCCTTTGGATGAATAGTTGTCTCAGTATTTTGTAGAGGATTGGTTGTAGGAGTCCCTCAAATTCCCCAATCATTGTTAGATTACTTGTGCTACTTAATACAATGTAAATGCTTTGTAAATATTTGCAATACTGTATCTGTAGGGACAGGAAGCCCTGTACATAGGGAAAAGATAGGATAAAGGCCTCATTGAGCTTTATTAAGATTAATAGGGAAACTTACTAAAAGCCATTTCTGCCTATACCACTAAAAGCAGATTCTGCCTTCACAGGTAGACTCTGCATTTAGGGCAATTAGAAAGACAAAGAAGTAAGAGAGAAGCTAGACTTGAGAGAAGCACCAGGTAATACAATTTACCACAAGAATTTAGCAGTTAGACACTGGGGAAGCCAGGGACTTGGAGGGCTGGCTCCCCTCACTCCCCTGACAAAATGCAAAGGATATAAGAGGCAGCATTCTAAGGACTATTATTTAATAAGTAGAACATGTACACAGATCTACATATATACAAATGTATGTTCACTTTAACATCAGTGTAGTATTGTACCCAATGCACACATGTACACACATCACTTTAATCATTAAGCTACCTCCCTATAAGCCCTTCCCCTTCACTTATTCATTACAAAGGGACAGGAGAAAACTGATAGAGTTTGTCTACCAGACAAAATGGCTCCAACAGTCCTACATTCTAAATTGGCTTCTGTTCCTGCTTAAAGAAATGAGCCACTTGGCAGGAGGGGGAAGTGAAACCTACCCCTTCTGGAGAAGCAAAACCTAACTTGTTATGCCACCCTGCTACCCATGTGATCCTCCCCTTGCAATCACCCAGCGTCCATTGCTCCACTCTCATAATACTTTCTCCACTGTTCCTCACTAGATAAACCTCACCCCAGTTAATCTTGCCCTCTCTCACCATTATTCGAGGCAGCCAGGCAGCTCCTTACCCAATAAAGTCTTGTCTCAGGTGCTCCTGTTTCAGCTCATTTTCTTCAGAAACCAAATGGCCAGAAGGAATGTAGGCAGACTTTCTAAGGTTAGAATCAAAGACAGTCAAGAAAACAAGGTCAGATGTGGACAAGTGCCCATGTGGGGGATGGGAAAAACACTAGTCCCCAACAGAAGGAGCCAAGTATAAGAGCTCCTGGGCTTTCAACTCTGAGGCTCCCTACTACTTTATGGTAGCTGTCTATCTTCTTTCTTCTCAATCTTTTTCCAAGTAAACTGGCTTCTGTTATACTAAACTTTGCCTTTACTGGCACCAGGTTTAAGATCACTGGAGCTGCATTTTCAGCAGAGCAGCAGCATGGTGTGTCACAGCATAGAGAGCTGTCCACCCCTGGATGTATCCTTTAGGAATGTACATATCCTTTAGGGACCAGTGACAAGAAAACTATTTTTTTTTCTGAATGTTTTCAGTTCACTGTGGCTTTAATCCATACATATGGAATCTGTGGAAAGCAAGGGCCAACTGTACTGATCTCTTTGCCTAGAGTGGTCTTTTTCCAAACATCTTCAAGGTTTGCTCCTTCCTTTTACGTAGTTCCTTACCTCACCTACCAGCTTCAGAAGAGGGATTCTTTTACTAACCCATCCAAAATAAGCTTTTCCACTCTTCATCCTCTAACCATGCTTTCTTTTCTGCAAATTATTCACATCACTTTATTTTTTAATTAATGACTGTGATCAGGGAGTAGGGCCTATGTCTGTCTTGTGTATAACTGTACCTGAATGCCATCTGGGCTCAATACACACTTGAAAGAAAGAATGAAAGAAAAATTGAATGAATGAATGAATCAATCAAGTCTTGGCCTATGCCCAACCTAATTGGGCTGTTTAAATCTTTACCACCATCCACTTTGTCAGCTGGCCCTTTGCCCCTCAAAACTCTATATTCCTAAGATTTTCCTATGGTGTCCAGATTCCCGAATCCCATCTGCAAAGACTATGTGAGAATGTCAGAGAAGAACTTCTGGAACACTGACTGCACTCCAGGAGATGCTAAAGCTGATGGTTATAGAGCATCTCTTGTGGCATAAAGCTATTTGTTTCCATCAAGAAGCCCTCCCTGTCTTCCCTGATTCTGCTTCCCTAGCTCTTTCTGCTCCTTATGTCCATGCCTAGTAATGGAAAAATCCCAGATTCATTCATTCCTTTAAAGAACCTCCATAGGTGAAGCTGCCATGCATGGTGTTGTAGGCTATGCACTGTGCACAAGTGTCCGCTCAGTGTCAGCCCCATTGCTAAATGGCTACTGCAAGTTAGGCCTAATGAGCAAGCCATAACCTTTGTCCTTGTGGAGCTGAATGTCTAGTAGTTTTTAAAAATCACAAACAAAGATAATAAAAACTGCCATGCTAAAGAAGCTCTTAGAGATCTACGCAAGCAGGAAGCATCTAAATCAGTCTGGGGGACAGGGAGAATTTTTGCAGGAAAAGAAGACTGATTACACAGAACTGTATGGTAGACTAAGAATAGGTTAAGAAACAAAATGTGTCCCAGTAAAAGGGAAGAGCAAGTGCAAAGCATGGTTGGAGATATGAAATTCAGCTCGCTCTGTATGATGGTTAAGTCAGCGCAGTTTCTTAGGGGGCCTTCTCTCCTCTCTTGGCCAATGTTAGTCACTCCATTAGTAGTATGCTAAGTGTCAGTGGGTGCCAAGGGTCAGGCATGCAGTAGTGAGAGCTATTAGCCCCCCATGGAAAGGATAATTTTATAATTGAAGTTTATTAGATTTGCTGGTTCACAATAATGAAAAGCAGACCAGCTTTTGATCAGTTTCATTACTACACTTCAGTTTTTTACGGATAATGCATCTTCTTGCTTCCTGCCCCTGAGAAGACAGCTACCCTTCATTCTTTCTATATCACTTTCTATGAGATTAGTCATGATGTTTATCTCACAGAACTTTGGTTCCTGGTTATACAGCATTGCTCTGTCTGAGCCAGTGCTGAGACAGGACTCCAGTGGCTTATTTGGGAGCTGATTCCAGGATAACTGGAAAGGCATGCAGCAGAGATGGAGGGTGTATGAGTAGGCCAGGCACAAGCATGAGCAGCTGGGGAATTCTGGGAGGCAGTGCAGGACGTGCTCAGATGTGTCCCAACTGAGCCCATGGGAACTAGGCTGATTTATTTTAACTCCCACGTTCATTTGTTACAGATCAGAGCTGCTTCTGGGGTCATGAAAAATCCTGAGCAGAGATGTAGAATTTAGAGAAAGCAGCTTGGTGCCTAAAAATGACAGCAGGGGGACGTAGGGTATTTCAGTGGCATTGGCTGTTTTCCTATCACTTCCACGCAAGAGTGGCCAGGCCTCAGACAGTCTTTGTCCCAGCAGCCAGCAAGGCAGAGGCATTGACACCTAGAAACTGAGAGAATGAGGTGAAATCCAACTCCAACACCATGCTGAGTCCCCTGAGAGCCAGGACTCTTCTGTGCCTTCTGAACCCTGGGGTCTTCCATGAATGGGAACAAATGAGAGGATGTTCAGGCGCTGGAAGACATCTGTATCTTGCCGAGGATGAATCCTGCACTTTTTGTGGACTTACCAACATCAGTGAGAGTCCTTTTCTGCCTGGTGAGGCCTGTGAGTGGCTGAGAGGGAAGCAGATGGCAGGTGCCTCCCTCGATGGACTCCCACTATCTGGGAAGAATAGATTCCATGTCAGAGATAAGGGCCCACGATGATGGAAATAACTTAAGGGTGGCTGCAGCCACCAATTTCTAGTTGCCAAGTGACAGCACTTGGGTGTTCCAAGCTCCTTGTCTCCCTGGAAACTGTTAAATGAGCCTGATAGACACTAAGGTGAAGTCATTCACCAATGGAATCTTCTTTGGCCTAACATCAGCGAAACCTCCTTACCTATTCCAGGAAGCCCTTCATAATTAATATCATTCTTTGTTTCTGCTAACTGGCAGCTAAGACTTTCCATTCCCTTTCCCCCAGAGTACCTAACATACTTGAAACCCAGATCAGATAATTTTTTAAAAATGAAATTTTAATGTATTCTTATTCATTTTTCAAAAGATTTTGTATTGTGGTAAAATGTACATAACTAACGTAAAGTTTATCATGTGAACCATTTTTAAGTGTGTAGTTCAATGGTACAAGGAAGACTCTTAGCATGCAAGCATCACCCTATCCACCTCCGTGCATCCTATCCAAACTTCACCCTATCCACCTCCTTGTCTCACTCTGCAAAACTGAAACTCTGTACAGTACTCATTAACCACTAACTCCCCACCCCCAACCCGTGAAAACCACCATTGTATTTTCTATCTCCATGAATTATTCTCTGTTTCGTGTATAAATGGAATCGTACAGTATTTGTTCTTTTGTGACTGCCTTATTTCATTTAGCATAACTTCTTCATGGTTCATCTATATTGTAGGATGTATCAGCATTCCTCTTCTTTTAAAGGCTGAATACTATTCCATTGTGTGCACGTTTCCCATTTTGTGCATTCATTCATCAAAAGACATGTGGGTTGCTTCTCAATTTCGGCCATTGTGGATAATGCTGCTAGCAACATGCCTGTACAAACTTCTCTTTTCAAGATCCTATTTCTATATTGGGGGGGTGTATACATAGAAGTAGAATTGCTGAGTCATATGACAATTCTTTTTAATTTTTTAAAGAACCACCATATTATTTTCCACAGAGGCTGTACTATTTTTCACTCCCATCAACAGTGCACAAGGGTTTCCATTTCTCCACCTGGCCAACACTTTTTTTTTTTAAAGTTTTGGTTTTTTTTTTAATGGTAGCCACCCTGATGGATATGAGGTATCTCGTTTTGGTTTTGATTTTCATTTCCCTAATGGTTAGTGATTTTGAGCAGCTTTTCATGTATTTATTGCCCATTTGTATATCTTCCTTGAAGAAATGTCTCTTCAAATCCTTTCCTCATTTTTAAATTGTTTCTTGGGCATATTTCTACATTCTGGGCATTATTCCTTTATCAGATATATTATTTGCAAAGATTTTCTCCCTTCCTATGCATTGGCCTTTTACTCTGTAGATAGTGTCTTTTGATGCACAAAAGCTCTTCATTTTATAAAGTCCATGCTCAATGGGCTGCCTGTGAAGAGCACAGTTTCCATGCTGTCCCAATGGCACCACAACTGGAGGCTCTCAGCAAACCACACTCACGCTGTTTAATCTTAATGGTCAACTTTATTGGCTTGAGTGACTCTTGGAAAGGAGAGTGGACCATGGGGTACTATATTCATCACTGAACTGATCCACTGATGTTCACAGCTGAATGTGCTGTCAAGGGGCGGGGCTAACTGGAGTAGGTGGGTCACTGGAGGTGACCCTTTGGTGGTATATCCCTCACTGGTGCTCCTCCCTTGTGCTTGTTTCTGGGCCACCATGAACAAAGCAGGATTGTACCACAATGCCCTTCTACCATGTTTCTGCCTTGGATCCAGCTGCCCATGGACTAAAACCTTTGAAATTGTGAGCCAAAGTAAGCTTCTCCTCCTTTAGGTTATGCATGTCATTTTGTCCCAGCAATGGGAAAGGTGACCAAAAACACACTCCTCATCACTGCTTGTTAAATCTCTTTCTTAAAGAGAGAACAGCATGTTTCCATGACTAACACATAAAAATGTACTCCTTTGTCCCTGGATTTTTCACTCAGCGTGTCTGCGATTCATCCACACTGTATCAGTCCCTTCCCTTTAATTTCTGAGTAATACTCTATTGTTTCACAGTCTGTATCACAGTGTATTCATTTCCTGACTGATAGACATGTGTGAGCTCTTTCTTGTCTTGAGTGATTATGAATCATACTGTTATGAACATTTACTTACAGAACATATGTTTTCATTAATCTTGCATAAATTCCCAGGAACAGGATTGCTGAGATGTTTATAAGAAATTGCTGAACAGATTTCTTTTTTTTTAAAATTGAGTTTATTGGTACATTTTAGGGATATAGTACAGTTACATTCATTACTGGGATCTTGTACCCTTCCATGACAGGTCTTGGTTCTCATTTTTTTCCCCTTGTCCCTGCCCTCCCTTCACCCCCCTACTCCCCTCCCCATTTATAAACACTTTATTTCCATGTTTTCATTTTCTCATATTTTTTTCTTCTCCCTTATTCCCTTTCCCCTACCCTTCCCACTTTCCCTACACCTTTAGCCCTTTTCTTCCTAATTCACATGGTCAATTATCTCATTAGGATTTTATGCACCATTATAGTTTTTCACATCAGAGAAACTATTCGGTATTTACACATGTGTGACTTATTTATTTCACTTAGGAGTATATCCTCAATATGTATCCATTTTCCTATGAATGAATGTAATTTCTCATTCTTTATGGCTGAGTAGTATTCTATTTATAGAAAAACCACACCTTCTTTATCAAGTTTCTAACTGATGGGCAAATGGGCTGTTTCCAAGTTTTAGCTATTACAAACTGTGCTGCTATAAACATGGGTGCGCATATATCACTGTGATATGATTCTTTTAATTCTTTTGCAAAGATACCCAGCAGAGGGATGGCTGGGTCAAATGGAACCTCTAGTCACAGCTCTTTGAGGTATCTCCATATTTATTTCCATAGTGGTTTCACCAGTCTGCACTTCCACCAACAATGGAGAAGGGTTTCCTTCTCCCCACAACCCCGTCAGCATTTGTTGTTGGTTGATTTCTTGATAGCAGCCATTCTTTGTGGGGTGAGGTGGAATCTCAGTGTTGTTTTCATCTGCATCTCTTGAATGACCAGTGATGTGGAACATTTTTTCATATATTTACTTGCTGCTTTTACTTCTTTGTCTGAGAAATGTCTGTTCATTTCAGATGCCCATTTTTTAATTGGGTCTTTATATTTGGGGAGGCTGATTGTTTTGAGTTCTTTATATATTCTAGATAATAGTCCTTTGTCTGAGGAGCACCTGGTAAAAACTTTTTCCCACATTGTAGTTGTCTCTTAGTTCTATTGATGGTTTCTTTTGCAGTGCAGAAGCTTTTTAATAAGATGAGATCCCAGTTGTTGATTCTTTCTGCTAGTTCCCGTGCTACTGAGGATCTGTTCATAAAGTCCTTTCCTATGCCCAATGTCTTCAAGAGTTCTGCCTAACTTATCTTCCTGAAAGTTTAGTGTTTCTGTTTTAATATTTAGATCTTTAATCCACTTGGATTTTAATTTAGTGTATGGCGAGAGATAATGGTATAGTTTTAATCTTTGGCAGGTTGAGATCCAGTTTTTCCAACACCATTTATTAAAGAGGCTATCTTTCCTCCAGTGAGGATGGTCAGCTCCATTGTCAAAGATGAGGTGGCTGAGTACATCTGGAGTTGTTTTTGTGTCTTCCAATCTGTTCCACTGATCCTCATGTCTGTTTCTTTGCCAGTACCATGCTGTTTTTATCACAATGGCTTTGTAGTAGTTTCAAATTGGGAATTGTTATACCTGCTGCCATGTGTCTGTTGCCTAGGATGGCTTTTGCTATTCTAGGTCTCTTATGGTTCCAGATGAATTTTTGGATTATTTATTTCTAGTTCTGTGAAATATAGTGTTGGAATTTCAATGGGTATTGCATTGAATCTGTATAGCAGTTTTGATAGTATGGCCATTTTCACTATGTTGATTCTTGCTACCCAGGCCCAGCGGATATCTTTCCATTTTCTTATATCCTTTTTAATCTCTTTTTTCAGAGTGCTGTAGCTTTCAGTGTAGAGGTCTTTTGCTTCTTTTGTTAGGTTGATTCCTAAATACTTCATTTTTGGGGGTGCTGTTGTGAAAGGAATTGTTTCCCTAATTTCTCTCAGTGAGTCTGTTATTTTGTGTACAAGAAAGCTACTGATTTTTGGGTGTTGACCTTGTATCCTGTTACTCTGCTAAAAGTGTCAGTTAAGTCTAGAAGTCTTTTGGTGGAGTTTTTTGGGTCTTCAATGTAGAGTATCACATTGTCACTGCTGAACAGATTTCCAAAATGGTTGTACCATTCCATTCGCACCAATGAATGAGAGCCCTAGTTGCTTCACATCATGTAGGAAAGGATCTAATGTGAAAAGTGCTGTGACAAAACCACAAAATGGTTAGAACATAAGGGTTAGGAAAAGCTGCCACCAGCTTTCAGAGTCTGGAAGTTTCAGGAACAGCAGGAAACCACCAGAGTCAGAGCTACTCTAGCCCTGTGGCAGAAGGCAGGAAAATCCTGCAAAGGCTGCTGCCAAATTGAATTCTGTACCAGGAGGTGCCCTTGCTTTCACTTTCCATTAGCCTCAGCCCCCAGAATACAGGCATACTTTGCCCCATGTGCATGATCTCCTTTAACTCCCGCTATAAGTCTCTAAGATGGAAACCATCATGATCCTCATTTTTAAGATGGGGAAAGCAAGGCACATGAAGGCTGTACAGCTGTGCCAGGTGAGCTACTTTGGGCCTGCGGGCTTCCCTCCTCTCCCCCACTGTGGCGCACCTGCAGCAGCACCACTGGGAGCTGAGTCCCAGGTCTGTTCAGTAAAGAGTGGGAAGTCCATGACTGAAGGACAGTGCTAAGGCCTCAGCTGGGAGGTAATAGAGGAAAAGGGTGGGGACAGATATGTCGAGGGCTAGGGACGCCCTTTCAACCACGGGGTGTGGGAGGGTCCATGCAGAGACGGCTGGTGCCACAAGAGGGCGCCTGGACCCACCCAAATGCCCACAAGAGAGGAGCAGGACCGAAGGCTATGTCGGTACCAGTCTTCACACCTCACACCTGG